TCAAGGTCAAACTGCTAATATCATAAAATAGATCTTTTTAAACCCTACAACTTTTGTATTTAACATTTTTTTATACAACGCTTTGTTTTCGAGATATTCAGGTGTTCCGGTATATAATATTCACCCTGTATATAACGTGGTGTGTGTGTGTGTGTGTGTGCGTGTGCGTGTGCGTGTGTGTGTGTGCGTGTGTGTAACTAATATTGCAGAATGATTTTTTTATATATAACGTTATATTAAAATATTTTTAAAGGTTACCCATTGAACAATTTTTGCGAATATTTATCGGAATATCTAAAAACATTCTACATCAAGAACACGTAAATATGCAAGGTTAGTATTAACAATAATGTTTATATTTTATTAACAATTATTTTTTCAAAAAGATAACTATCTTTATCGTGCTCTAGAGAAGGAAAATGTATTAGACATATCTTTGCAAAATGAAAATGACAAAAATTATGAAGAAGAATTATTTACTGGACTACCTGAAACTCTTTCTTATGAACAACATATAAATATGCAAAGTTATTAGGTGCGCAATTAAGTTCCCGCTGTTTGTCAATAGATGGCTCCAGCAGCTGGTCGATTTTGACATATCCAAAACGTCATGAACCAAGCTTAGACATATGGTAAACAAACCGCTTTGACACGTTAGTGATTTTTTTTTGGCGTCATATACTTTTGGTTGTGTGAAAATGTCTGATTTTGTGCCAAATAATCGTCATTTGCGGGAAGTGTTGATTTTCTTATTTCATTCGAAGAAAATGGCGGTTGAAGTGCATCGAGAGCTCCAAAAAGTTTACGGAGATGCTGCTCTAAGTGAAACAACGTGCCGTGATTGGTTTCGTCGCTTCAAAGACGGTGGTTTCGATATTGACGACCGTCCGCGTGAAGGAAGGCCAAAAACCTTCGAAGACGCTGAATTGGAGGCATTGCTCGATGAGGATCTGTGCTAAACGCAAGAACAGCTTGCTTCAGCATTAGGAGTTACCCGCCAAGCCATTTCCAAGCAATTGCATGCGTTGGGAATGATTCAAAAGCAAGGAACTTGGGTTCCTTGTGATTTGAAGCCAAGGAACGTTGAGCGTCGTTTTTTCGCCTGTGAACAACTGCTCCAGCGGAAAAAAAGGAAAGGTTTTCTTCATCGCATCGTAACGGGTGATAAAAAATGGATTCATTACAGCAACCCAAAGAAAAGAAAGTCATGGGGACTGCTCGGTCATGCTTCTACGTCGTCGGCTCGGCCGAATATTCACGCTGCGAAGGTTATGCTGTGTATTTGGTGGGACCAGGTCGGTGTTATTTATTATGAGCTGTTGAAACCGAACGAAACCATCACTGGGGAACGGTATCGAATTCAATTGATGCGATTGAGCCGAGCACTTCGCGAAAAACGGCCACAATACGAGCAGAGGCACGAAAAAGTGATTCTACTGCATGACAACGCTTGGCCTCATGTTACCAAACCCGTTAAAACCTACTTGGAAACGCTCAAATGGGAAGTCCTACCTCACCCGCCATATTCTCCAGATATTGCGCCGTCCGATTATTACTTGTTCCGTTCGATGGCACATGGTCTGGCTAATCAGCAGTTCCGCTCATATGAAGACATCAAAAAATGGCTTAATTCGTGGATAGCCTCACAAGACGAACGCTTTTACCGTAACGATATTCGAGCTCTGCCAGAAAGATGGGAAAAAGTTGTAGCTAGCGATGGGCAATACTTTGAATGATTCATTTGTAACCATTTTTTCACAATAAAGTTGCATTTTCATAAAAAAAAAATAGCGAGAACTTAGTTGCGCACCTAATAGTATTAACTGTATTATGTATGTCTGACTTACATTCTTATTAACTTGCCTTATCATGCTTTAGGAAACGAAAATATTCCAAATATATCTTTGATAAACAATACCGGAAAAAAATGTGAAAAAGAAATACAAGTTACTACAAATCAAAATATCCCAATAAATCTATTAGAACCTAAAATTATTCTAATAAAACTTACACGTCAAAACTGCAAAAAATATATTAAGAATAGTCAACAACCATTAGCGTTTATTGAAAATACTATTTCATCAAAAGTAAGTAAACATTGTAACATTACTTATTATCTACAGATATAATATTTACACATTGAAACATTTACATAATATTCCAGATTACACGAAAACGAAGAGCACATAAACCTTGCAGCTGTTGCAGATAAAAATAACCATATATATTTTAAGATAACGTTTTTTTTAGTACACACGTTTCCTGTTCTTTTGTTGGCTTATCATATAACATATTGTTTCGGAAATGTTTATAATATATACTATTAAAGAAAATAAATTTGGACATTAGCATATAAGTAATTTTTATATAATTCACCTTAAAGTATTGTGAGAAATTAACTAGTAAATGCTTTCAGCCTAATCTTGCACACAGCCTTGGTCTAAAACACATTACATGCGTAATGCTTAACATATATAATACTGTTATATTGGAAATAGATCGACTATTTCAGAATATGTGTGCGATAAACGTCATAAAGAATGTGCATTAAAAACAGGTACAGACAATTCTAAATACATTCTTATACATTTAAAATAAAACAATTCTTATACATTTAAAATAAAATTAAGACATGTTTATGGAATATATACTTTGCGCGCATGAAATTTGTGCTTTGCAAATTGGACACATTTTAACATTATCACTATTTTGTCTCAAAATATGTATGTAACACTAATGGATGATAGAGAATGTTTCATTTTTTTGTTTAACATAGTAGAAACGAATCCTATTATATAAATGTTTAAAAAATAATCCAGACAGCATGAGCTCTATAAACGACGTGTGATAACATTAAAACTCTTTTTTAGTCATCTTTATGAAACGTCTAAAAGATTAGTGTTACATACATATTTTGAAACAAATTTGTTTCATTGCACTTTATTGTGAGAAATTAGCAGTAAATGCTTTCAGCCTAATCTTGCACACAGCTTTAGTCTACACACATTTCAGTGCGTAAAGCCCATTCTACATTAGTTCCAAGTCTCAAAGTTCCAAGAAAATTGACCAATCAATTCTTCCTTGGTCGTAAGGAGAACGATCGACTGTGATTGATAAATTTTCTTACGATCTTGCGATTTGCAACTAATACAGAACCGGCCTAATACTTAACATATATAATACTGTTACATTGGAAACAAATCGATTCTCTTAGGATATGTGTGCGATAAACGTCATAAAGAAATGTATTAAAAAATGTACGGGCAATTGTAAATATTTTTATACAGTTATATTTGGAAGTGGATATGCGTCGCCTATCGTTTTATTATTTAATTTTCGAAAGTCCAATACCATTCGCCATCGTTTATTTCCGCTTACATCCGTCTTTTTAGGAACTATCCATACTCAGGTATTATATGGAGAATCAGATGGTTTTATAATTTTATTTTCTAAAAGTTCATTTACTTGTTTATTTATCTCTTCTTTGTGAATTTCTGGAAATCGATATTGTTTTGTATTTATTGGAGCTTCATCAGTGGTTAATATACGATGTTGTACTGCATTTGTATGCTCTAACATTTCTCCTGGTAAATGAAAACAATCTGTACTTTTTTCAATTAGATTTTTTACATGTTCTCGTTCTTCTTTATTTAAATGATTTAGGCGTAGTAATTTAATTATTTGGTCTTTTCTATCTTGTTCTTTAATGTGATAACACGAGTTTGTATTTGATCGTGCTTGTAAGTTTGAGTTTGTTTCCGCTTGTATTTCCAAATTTAATTCATCTTGATCTTTTGTTTCAAATTCTTAAATTGTAATATTTGGCACATATTTCATGATCTTTTTCGTTTGTATTTATTACTCTTAAGTATGCTTTTCCGTTTTGTACTGAGACTAAAGCATTACCTAAGTAAATGCCCTCTGTCACAATCAATCGCGGAACATATCCTTCTTTTAATTCGGAATTAATAACATTGATATGAATTTGAGAAATAGATCTACTTGGAATTATTAAAGTTTCTTCTGGATCTTCTTTGGGCTCAAAAGGGATAATTATATTTTCCCATTCTATTTGATTTTTTTGATAATTGACTTTGACTTGGAATTGTTTAAAAAAGTCTGATCCTAAGATCCCATTTTGAGGTATTGGAAAATTATCTTCCACTAAATGGAAAGCAACTGGACATCCTAAGATATCTATCAGTGCCAGCCCTAAGGTGGACACATGATGCGCTGTTATACCACTTAGCTTAAGAATTTTATTTTCATTTACCCAAATGTCTCTTTTTAAACAACCTTGTTTAATTATATTAGGCCCTGATCCACTGTCAACTAGAAACTTTGAATTTTCTTTAAAATCTTTACTTGATAATTTGATTGTTGGTACATCGTCTATATTTGCTAGATTTACTGTTCGGAATTGGAAATTGTTTCCGTTGAGATTACTCGACTGGGGCATGTATTTTGCATTCCCGAAGCTGCCCCTTTCCTGTCGGGAATATATCTGTTTCCCTGACTTTGTGTAATTCGCTGATTATTATTATAAGCACGTTTTCTACATTCTTCAATTGAATGTCCAAATTTTTTACAATATTGACAAATTATTGGATTTAATTGATTTTGAAAAATTAAGGGTTGATTATTGTGGAACATTTCTTGTCCAGAACCAGTATTTTGATTATTATAAAAAGATTTATTATATACTTGTCGAGAAAAATTTTGTGGGAAAAATTTATTTGTTGTATTTTGTGGAAAATTTTGTCTTACTGGAAATTGTATTGGAGCTAAATAATTTTGATTTACATGTTCTACGTTTTTTTGATATTGAATTGGATTATTAGAATTTATACGTTCAACATTTCCTTGCTGTTTTAGGATCTTTCTGCACCGATCAGCTGTGTGACCTTTTTTATGACAATACTGACATATGATCTCTACGGCTTCTATGCGTCGAGTGGCTCGCCTCTCTGTTGTATTCTCTGCGAGAACGACTCGCCTTATCATGTTTATAGTTTCGAGTTCTTTTTCCGCGTCAATTGCTCGACTCTCAAGTTGTTCAAACGTTCCTTCTTTAGATATTATAATTTCTTTATTTAATCCGCGTAAGAAGCTAGTTTTTAGATGAGCCTCGATTGAATTTTGAAATTCTTCACTAATTTCACCAGTCTCTCTTTTTTGAGCGTCTAATATTCGTTTCCCTAGTTCCCGAACTCGATTCGCATATGTGGCCACTTTTTCATCTTTCTTTTGACATAAATAAGCTAAACGTCCCTGGGCTTCGTAAACTGTTTCTCTGGGACCATATTTAGTTCTTAAAAATTCTATTATTTCGCGCATATTATTAAAAATTTTTCCTAATATTGATCGGTGTGCATCCCCTTTTAACTTATTTCTTATTGCTCTTACTAATATATTTTCTTGTGTTGGTGCGATCATGCTCATGGCTTCTTCACAACCCTCGACAAAATAAATGAATGGAATGTTTTCTCCATCATAAGTAGGCACTGCATCGAGTGCATCTCTTATTGAAAAATGTACGAAATTACCTTCTGTTAAAAGTCCAATCCCTTGATTACCCATTTGTCCATTTTGTTGTTGTTGTTGTTGCTGTTGCTGCTGGAGTCGTTCAATGGTTTGTTGTTGTTCTATTACCATTCTTCGTAATTCGGTAATATCCATATTGGCTTGATTAGGATTTTCTATTGTTGATTCTTGATTTGATCTTGATGGAGGAGGACTTCGCTTCAATTTTGGCATTTACACTTTACTGTTTTATTTTCACAAAAACTTTTGGTGTCACACAAACTTTAGTGTCCCGCCGCTGTTACCAAATTTATGTCACGTCTTAGTTGTTTTTTAAAACGTGTTAATTGTCCTTTTTGGGTCAATAGATTTAACCACTTTACCCTGGGATGGACAAGTTCGTGTGATTGTGAGTGAGTAAATGTGTAAACGTATGTGTGTGTACAAAATAATTATTTTACTTACTGATTCTGGTTGTATTGATTCTTTCTTTTAAGAAATTTTAAATTATTTTGAAGTCCTTCTCGTACTGTAGTTACAGAGAGACTGAAGAGCTTAGGATCGGACTTAAGAGGTTGGTGAAGGTTTGGGAATATGAGTAAAGTGTAACGCGACGCTTAGGTCAGGGGATATGTTAGGAAAACAAACCTTTATCTATTCAATAACTTATTTACGATTTTTAATGTTTTATCTTAGTGATCCAATTGTTATGTATATTGTTTGTATTTTATAGGTTTAATTAATTAATTATAAACTGACTGACTGTTTGTCTTATCTGACTTCTAGTCTGATCTTTTGTCTGATTTGATGTCACTATTAGAATTATTACTTCTTGTCTCTAGTCTCTAGTCTGATTTCTTGTCTCTAGTAGTGTGTGGGCAGTCGCACCCGTTTTTATAGGCAGGTGGCGAGATACCCCCGCGTGAGTTCTCACCACCTTTTAGTAGAAGGGGAAAGATGCTTCTCACGACATGTGAGTAATAATCAATAGTTAAATTTTGACACCTTATATCAGTCCATTGTTCTTTGACCACCCAGGGCATTTATTGCATTTCTGGTGGTAACAGAAGGTGCGCTCGGTCGAACTAAAGAGAAGTTACGTCGGACGTAACAATACATATAAAATAAGAGTAAGATTTCTTTATGGAATATATACTTTGTGTACCGATGAAATTTGTGCTTTGCAAATTAGACACATTTTAACATTATCTTGCAAGATTTGACTAGCACAATCCTCACAAATATAGAAGTGACCGCACGGTATGAAAAGATGAGTAGATTCTGCATTAATACAAATAGTGCACGTACGATCAGATCTTACTCTTTCTTGGCTATTTTTGCATATATTTTCTAAAGAAAAGCGTTTGAATTCGTGATACGCGACATCATATTGAGCATTGTTCTGATCTGCGTACCAGTATTCAAAGTCATCTTCAAGAATGTTATAAATCGTTTCTGGAAAATATTTCCATTTTTTCATTTAATAATCGCACAAATGTACTCTAAGGAAGGAATAATGTTTAATGTTTACTAAACTAAAATATATATAAATACATACCGTCCTCAAGTTCACTAATTGTGATAAATTTCGAGTGTTGTGTGTATTTTGAGCTTCTTCCAATATGTTTGCCGGTGTAAGGGAAGTAAGATCTGTAGAATTCATATTGATTATATCCAGGTCAGTGGCATTTTCGGAAATGGCTGCTCCTTCTTCTGTATCAATATATGTATGCCTTAAAGTTAGCGAAGATAATCGTTTATCATCTTGTCTCTGATTTAATGTAAATGAATCTTCTACACTGTTTACATTTACGTTATCAATAGAAATTCTCTGAGTTCCACAAATGTCTGAAAAAGTGTGAATTAATAACAGAATAATATAAAGAATATTTGATTTTTGTGATATAAATAATAATGCATACTTTCATTTGAGTTAGAATCGTAACTTTCTGATAGAAATTCAGTACTAATTTCATAATTATCGTTCTGCTGGATTATATCTGTAAAAAAATATCTTTGTTTAAAATATCTAGAAATCCAAATTAAAGAAGAAAATTCAGTACATAATCAAATCTCTTGTAAGAAATACATTAAAATCAACAATATTTGGTTTATTCTATAGTTTTATAAAATATATGATGATAATAATTAGCTTTTAATGAAAAGAAAACTTATTTTTATTAAATAAATTACAATGTTTTGAAATATCATCATATAAAAAATATAACTATATGTCAAAAACATGTAATTTCTTTAATTTTCTTGATTTGACCGTTAGCTTGATCAAATTTTTTGAGCACCAAAATTTATATTTTATGTATATTTTTGTTGTAAATATATTTCTCTAAGTTCTGGAATATAATACCTTCATCAATCATGTCTGAATTATACAAATCAGTTTCATAAAAGCGACTAAATGATTTTAGAAATTCAGGAAGCGGTAATCTGTAAAAAAAAATTGTCTATATATTAACAGTATTATATAATTGTATTATATAATTGTTTATAAATCATTTTTCACACAGGTTTAAGTTTATGCTATAACTAGTAACATTACCTATTTTCTAAGAAATCCTTCTGTTTATTCAGTATCATTTTATTTTTTTCTCTATTGGCTCGAGTTTGAAGTCTACGTGCTTGATAATTATTTCGTAAGCGACAAAGATCAATTTCCTGATCAATAAGTACTTTTTTCAAATTTTCTGCAATATAAAAAAAAATAAAA